AAAAAAAAAAGTAAAAAAGAAAACTGGTTGGACTGAATCAAAAACAGGCCCATTAACACTCCCCCAAGCAGTAGGGAAAGACTGCTCAGGGAAAGACTGCTCTGAATGAGCACAAAGAACCCTGGAGACCTTGAGGGAGGACTGGCAGCCTGCATAACTGGGAGGCATGCAGAATTAGGACTCAAGGTGTTACTGGACAGCAGTGGCTGGAAGCCTTGTGAGCCAGTAAGGCACTACCTTGTAAGGCTCACAGTGCTCAGAAAATAAACAAAACCAGTGACTGGCTTAACCACAGGCCCAGCTGCAACACTTCTAATGAGCCCCACCCCGCACGACTGTATCCAAGCATAGAGGGAACCCAGGACATCAAAAGGCTACAAAGATCAACAGGCACCAGAGACAAGGACTCAACTTGTTACCAGAAGAAGCTGAACACCACAAGAGACCCCTGACTGTCACTGGCAGAGACTACAGACATAATTCCACACAGTGGGAGCTGGAAAAACAGGAGATAGTGAAACAAAACAAGGCTCAGAATACCTTCCACAATTGAACTATCTGGATGTTCCTCTGCCATCCCAGAAAGAACAGCCAGAAAAAATGCCAGTCAATAATAAAAAGAAAGAAAGAAAGAAATAATAGCAACACCATGTCTCAATGAATCAAAAGTATTAGAAAATACACGACAGGAAAAAGAAGACAAATATTCAAGCAAGTCCACAGAGGGAAAGTTCATCACAAAAGATCACAGTAAAAACCACAAAAGAAATAGAAAAACTGCTCAGCCTACCAGATAGAGATGTCAGAATCATCATGATAAACAAAAAGAAGATGAGAAGGAAAAAAATGAAATGAGGCAAACCATCAAGGAGTTGAAGAATGCAAACAAAGTAAACAACCCCATCAAAAAATGGGCAGAAGAGCTAAAAAGACACTTCTCCAAAGAGGAAATGCAGATGGCCAACAAGCATATTAAAAAATGTTCAACATCACCTGCAATAAGGGAGATGCAAATTAAAACCAAATGAGATACCACCTCACCCCAGTGAGAATGGCACATCTTCAACTAGCAACAACAAATGTTGGCAAGGATGTGGAGAAAAAGGAACTCTCCTGCACTGCTGGTGGGAATGCAAACTAATACAACCACTATGGAAAACTGCTTGGAAGTTCCTCAAACGGTTAAACATGGAGCTTCCCTATGACATAGCAATCCCACTCCTAGGTATCTACCCAAAAGACACAAAAACACTGATTCAAAAAGATACCCGCACCCCCATGTTTATTGTTGTTTTATTTACAACTGGAAAGACATGGAAACAGCGCAAATGCTCAAAAATGGGTGACTGGATTAAAAAGATGTAATATATATACACAATGGAATATTATTTAGCAACCAAAAAAAAAAAAGAAACCATGTCTTTTGCAGCAACATGGATGGAACTGAAAAAGATCATGCTTAGTGAAATCAGCCAAAAAGAAAAGGAAAAACACCAGATGGTTTCTCTCATAGCAGGAATATAACGAAACAGGTGAGAAAATAATAAGAATAATGAACAACCATATACCAGAGACATTTTGTGGGGGTGGAGTGGGGAATGGGATCAAAGACAGCAGGGGGAGGGAAATGCACTGGACTATGGTGATGGCACTGGGTGATTTGGTGATGGGAAGCCCAAGGGGATGCAACTGAGATGGAAAAATGCACAAGATGTTAACATAAGTTATTTTTTAAAAAAGAAGTAGAATAAGAAAAAAAAAGTTGCAAGACTTGATGAATGGTAAAGAAAATAACTGATAAGAAGTACTAACTTTTCTTTTGTTGATAGATATGATTCGAGAAAAAATATCAGTCAAATGATGTGTACATATAATAAGCATAATAGATGGTAAAAAACATTCATATAAGCACACTAAGTTTTCTGAAAGTTGATTAGGATGATGACAGATTACATTTCTCTAACTTAATCAAAATATTTCAATGTTTTTATTAATGAAAAAAATAATTGCTGAATACCTGGAAGGTTTCCATTAGAGTCTACATCTTCTATACCACATCCCCATTTCACTAGAAGTTGCAAACAGCCAAGCCGCCCATGAAAAGCTGCATAATGTACTGGTTTCCATTCTCTCTTATCAGTCACACTGGGATCCTAGATGTGACATTTACAAGTATTTAGAGAGAAAACACTAAGTTTAGCAACATATTTCTGCAAATGAGAACTGGAGTCTATTCTTAACATTACAAATAACAGAAAAAGATATAGCAACCACTCATTTGAACATAAGCAAATAAGATATTAATGAAATTTTTAAAAATTGCCTTTTTAGATGGAAAAATCACAAAAATATGTAAAATTAAACTAATAGAATATTTTTTTAAAAAATTGCCTTTTTAGGACTCTCCCTGGTGGTGCAATGGGTTAAAACACCGCATTATGAAGATCTCTGAAGCCACTGCAGCAAGAGTTTGATCCCCCACCAGGGAGCTGACCCACATGGTGTGGCAGACCTCTCCTGACTTGCCCACAGTGTATTTTAGTACATCTGCCTATTCTGCTCCCCACTCTGATCTCTGGTGAAGCTTCTCACCCACCACACCTCTGGCCTGTACCCCAGTTCTATAAACACGAATAAGTAAATCTTTTTAAAAAATTGCCTTTTTAAAAGGAACATAACTAATTACATAAAGTAGTTTTTAAAAATTAACCAGTAACTTTACTGTTCATTGGTAAAAAGAAAAAAATGCAAGTGCTGAAATGATCAAATCATAACTTTGAGATCATAAACACTTACTGATAAAATATGAATAGGCTTTTCATTTTCTCTTTACCTAAAGAAATACCAAGTCTTACCATAATGTCTTAAGTACTGCTGTTGCTATCATAGCTATTTTTTATAGCTACTGGGTAATATTAAAAATAAATATTGCAGTAAGTAAATTTCTGAAGAAATAAATCATTTTCTAAATTAGTATAGAAAATAAAAAGATACAAAAGAAACAGGTAAACACAAAAATTCACAAAGAATTACAATCACTAGTTAATTGATCTGGAAACTTGGATTTTTTTTTTCCAGTTAAACTCAAAACTGACAGGAAGAACCCAAAGTTCTGAGATAGTTTGTGTACTTCTAAACACTAAATTGTTTCTGAAGACTTAAGTGACTGCCTCCAATTTTAATGACAGAAAAGCTAAAGAGAAAGATTAAATCATTTCTCCAAAATCATCTATAGGTTTTGGACAACTAAATGCCATGCATTGATGATTATAAATCCTCACATATTAACAGGAATCCCTCACCACTCCACTTCGGAGCATTACTTGTAGAGTGAAAGAATGTCCGTGCGTTGCAGCAAGATGTAAAGGGGTACATCCACGATCATCCTGAGCTGAAAGATTTGCTCCATTAATTATAAGGGCCTAAAAACAGAGCAGTAAGAATCAGTTTACATACTGATGTTACATTACAAGTGCAAGCAACTTTTTTCTCTTCAATTTTTATTGTTATATCTTCACATTTTGAGGAAAGATACAAAATCAATACAAAGAAGTCCCTTCTAGCCTTCATTCAGGTTTCCTAAGTGTTCATCTTTGAAGACATTTGCTTTACCCTTCCCTCTCCTTGTTTCTCTGTCTCTTTCTCATTCCCTCTCTCTCATTAACCTTTTCTCCCTCCTCTTGCCTTGGGCACCATTTTATACCTGAGTAGTTTCCTGTTTTATTTGTAGTCAATTTCCTCCTATAGTAAACTCTCAAGTTCAATGGCATTTCCTTAAGTTTTATTCCCCTTAATTGTTTTTTTGAATCTCAATTTAATGAGGGATTAAAATGCACAATTTAAGATGGAGAAACCAAATGTTGTCCAAAGGAACAGTAAAAGAAAATAAACTAATTAAAAAAAATAAAGTGACAGAAGAGTAAGATTAATCTCAAAGATAAAGAAATATTTCATTTCTATTTCCCTAGTTTTATTCTCTAACTGATACTCTGCCTAACCTCCTTCACTTTTATAGCCCCAATGAAGCCTGGTATGCCTAAATCTCTGGCTCCCTTCTCTAAATTCTTTCTCATTTCTCTGCTTCCTCCCATATCTACTAACAATAATTGTCAACATTTCATTCCTAACATTTTATACTCTTCTCTTTACTTTAACACTCCTGAAATGTTTATCTCCAATCCCCTTTACAACTGCAGGGCCTGGGTACCGGAATGACCAACAGACATTTTAAACTCAACATAATTTTTCTCACAAATTTCCCCTGACTTACAAATCTTTCTACCTATAGTGTTATGAGAAATTGTCATGGAGACTAAAAACTTTAAAGTCTCAAAACCTGTCACTACCTGCTTTGCAAGATGTCTTTAATCATTTTTTTTTTTTTGATTTCTGACTGCCACCACCTAATTTCACATTTGGTTAGTTGCTACACCAAAAGTTTCTAACAACTACCACATCTTAACTCTAACTCTAATCCTGGATATATCATGCAAGGATAATTTCCTGAAATACTGCTTTCATTCTCTTGTTCCCCTATTAATATCCAGGTTCTATGTATACATGTATGTGTATATACATACATATAAGCATAAACATGTATAAACATAAACACATATATGCATAGATATAAATCACATAAAATTTTATACAAATGAATATAAAATCTCTATCCTACTTTTAACACATTTTAAAAGTCTGCCTTATTCAAATTTAGTACATAACAGTCTGTACAACAAACCACCTATACTCAGTCAAACTAATATAATAGTATATATCCCCATGGCTAGAACAAAGAACTAAATCTATGAGCTCAAATTACTAGATTAAAAGTCATAACCCAATAGACCTATGCTAACATTATTAAACTTAATGAACATGTGAATAGTAACCAGTTGTTATTACCTGCATACAAGCATCCTGACCCCTGATTGCAGCTATATGAGCCGCTGTCCAACCTCTCGTGGTTACTTGTGTGATATCAGCTCCGTGCCAGAGAAGCCAATGCAGACACTAAATTAAGAAAATAACAATGTTAACAAGTGATAAAGCAAATGGTTTTTAACATTTTTATAACTTTTTAATTTAGCTTATCATCATAAAATGCCATGGTGCCATCGGTTATTACTGTGAACGAGATGCTCATCCAAATCTTAGTTTGGTCAATACTGCAAGCCAAAGAAAACACCTACAAGCCAAAATCACTCAAGCAAGGGTTGCCAGTTGACAACTTTCTAGGACAGATCTTTAAATGGGCCCAGAAGCTTCCATACAAGTATCGTCGTTCTGATATTTTTTTAAAGAATAGTAGCTTTAGGCCCTCCCTGGTGGAGCAGTGGGTTAAAGCACTGCACTGCAAGCAAGGCTCAGCCGCTTCATTGTGAGTTTGATCCCCAGCCCTGGAGGTGATCCATATGGCATGGCAGACCTCTCCTGACCCTCCTACTGTTCCCCTAGGCAGTGTACTTTGTCGATCTTCTTATTCTCTCCCCAATCTGCCTCTAGGAGACACCATCCCTATATCTCTGGCCTGTACCCCAGTTCTGTAAAAATAGATCAATAAAACTAAAACAAAAATTATGATAAAAGAATAATAGCTTTAAACAAAAAATGAGGGTTTGGTAGTTAAATCTAACCACTCCTAAGATTAAAAAAAATTGACCTAACTTTCAATATAATACAGTACTAAGCAGTCTATATAGTATTGTTACTATCTTTATATGTTCAAGTTTCTACTTTCAAAAAGTTTCTTGCCACATCCCCTCCCGTGGCACCTAAGTGAGAAATCCTTAGAGCTTGGCACGGTCAGGTACCGGCACACGGGAGGAATACGTGGCCCTCCAGGAATAAAAGAATGGCTGATTCTTGAATGGTCACTGTAACTTTTTGATTTGTTTCCTGATTCTGCTGACACACAACGTACTAAACCAAAGAAATGTTATGAATACTGTGCTTCGTTCTAATGATATTCTTGAAAGGAATGTAGCCTCCTCATTTCTCGATATTGATTTAACTCTGAGAAACTTTTCTATAATCTTTAATTCTATTAAACTATTAACTCCTGTATACCAGGTGGCTTGTGAAAAGAATGGAGAGAGCAATTAAAAGGGTTAGCAAGGCAAAAGTGACAGATAGGGTATTTGTTTAGCACCACTGAACCTTGAATACACAATGGTTTCTGCCCCAGGTTGGTCTCGGGCCCCTGATGACATCTCAAAAACAATAAAAAAATGTATTATCTGTCATGCTTCTATTGAAAGAATCATCGTATCCCTATATTTGCTTGCCAAGAAAAATTGTATAAATGCTCTTCACTCTTGAAAATAAACTACATTCAGATATGCACTCCTAGAAGTCGTGTCTTTCTGTCACTCAGCCTCATCCTTGTCCACCCTGTGCCAGAATTGCAGTCCCTGAAACTTGTCTCCTGCTCCTGCTGCGCTGGTCCGCAGCAGCTTCTCCCTTTTTATGAGAATCATTTTTATCATTGGGATACGCTGATACTATTAGTCATGGTCGTATCATTTTTGAAAGGCACTAAAATTTAAGTATCATTGCTGGTATGAAGATTAATGACCGATACAACATGAGGGGGAGGGGAAGTCTTAACCTTACTAACAATCAGAGTAAGTCATTATTTATTCAAAAAATATTTATGGAAGATTTATGGCTCAAAAGCCAGAAAATAAAATATAAATATTCATGTATAGGCTCTTTATTTCTCCTGGGTAAATGATAAGATTGTGAATACACAGAAAAGTAAATGTTTAACTTTATAAAAACTGCCAAGCTATTTTTTTTAAGATTTATTTATATATGCATATAAGAATTGGGGTACAGGCCAGAGGTACAGGGGGTGAGAGGATTCAACAGAGTGGGAAGCAGAACAGGCAAAATGACTGAAATATACTGGAGGGGAGCAGCAGGCGAGACAGCAAAGGTCTGCTGCGCCATGTGGGTCACTTCCTTGGCCAGGGACTGAACTTGTGCTGTAGTGACTGTGGTTTGCTTCACAGTGCTGTGCTTTAACCCCTTGCACCACCAGGGAGGGCCCCCAAATTATCTTCTAAAATGGCTATACTATTTTACATTCCTACCAACAATATGTGAGAGTTTCAATTGCTCCATGTCCTTGCCAATACTTGTCATTGTTATCTTTTTGGTTTCCTGTTGCTATTCTGATAGTTATAGTAGCATCTCATTGTATTTTAATTTGTACTTCCCTAATGGCTAGTGATGCTGATCATCTTTTCATGTATTCACTTGCCAGCCACATGTTCTCTTTGAGAAAATGTCTCCTGAAATCACTTTTTAATCCAGATTTCTGTCTTCTTACCATTGAGTTGTGAGCATCTCTTATGTATTCTGGGTAAAGTTCTAATTTGGATAGATGATTTGCAAAGATTTTCTTACATGTTTTCTTTTGAAAATTTATATAAAGTTAAAAGTTTCAATTTTTTCTGTGATCTGTTTTGAATACATTTTTGCACATAGAGCTATGTATGCGTTGAGGTCCATTTTCCTACATATTATATGTCCAACTATGCCAGAATCATTTAATAAAAATACTATCTGTACTCTACTGTATTGCACTTATATCTCTTGTCAAAAAATCAACTGACCATTCCCCAGAATTTCAGAAACGGCTAAATGAAGAGACTTAGGAAATCCTCACCAAGAATCAAAGATAAAATTTTACAAAGTTACCAAAAAATAACCACTTAAAGACTCTGGAAGTTGTCCAAAAGAATATAACAAAATATCAACTATGCCTTTAAGAAAATCTACTGAATCTTGATGAGAATGGGTGGAGTATGTGGTCTATTAGTTTGGGACTACAATGATCCCTACCCAGCCCCCCAACCCCTAGATGGTGCTGAAGGTCGACCTGAATGGATAGTTTCATTGCCCAAATAGAGGAACTGACTTTATTTAGAGTTGAATATGGAAAATTTCTTCTCAGACACACTGTCAAAAATGTAACACTTGCAAAAAATCTTGAAAAATGACCAGCAAAATAAGCCTAAAGTTATAATACTGGTTGGGGTAAACTAAAGATCACCACAAAAAATCCAAAAATTAAAACAAAGTGGGTTATACTAAGATTCCATTTATCCCTTGTGATGTAAAAAATTATGTGTTGGGGCCTTCCCTGGTGGCGCAGCAGGTTAAAGCACAACACTGAGAAGCTAAAGCCACTTCAGCATGAGTTCTAACCCAGCCCCCGGGGTGATCCACATGGCCAGCAGACCTCTCCTGACCCGCCCGCGGATCCCCTCAGCAGTATACTTCCGTCTATCTGCCTGTTCTGCTCCCCGCTCTGTCTCTGGTGAGTCCTCTCACTGCCCCTGCTCCTCTGGCCTTTACCCCAGTTCTGTATGTATAAATAAATCTATCTTTTAAAAAAATTATGTGCACGGACAATGTTGCTCATATTCAAGAAGTTAAACAACATTTGCTGGACAACCATGGCTAAACATGGGATATTGAAAACACATTAAAGGTAAAAAAAAAACTGTCAGGCTGATTTGTAAACTAATTGGAATATGAAAATAATTCCATGCTACAAACAGAACCATCAACCAAAGATAGATTCCTTGTCAACTTAAGATATTTCCATGCAATTTTTAATCAATCACTGGTTACTAATTTATGATAACCTTGGGATGACCCCTAGGAAATGGGCTTAAAAACAAAATTTTTTTTAAATAAGCAGTGGTTACACATTGTAAGGGAAAAAGATTCCATAAAATTAGTCCAGTGTAGGTCCCTCCCTCGTGGGGCAGCAGGTTAAAGCACAGCACTGAGAAGCTAAAGCCACTTCAGCATGAGATCGAACCCTACTCCAAGGTGACTCACATCGCACAGCAGACCTCTCCTGACCCGCTTGCTGCTCCCCTGAGTGTACTTCATAAGTCGGCCTGTTCTGCTCCCCACTCTGTGATGAATCTTCTCATTGCCCCTTACCTCTGGCCTGTACCCCAGTTCTGTATGCATAAATAAATAAATCTTTAAAAAAAACTAGTCCAGTGTAAACTGAGATGGAAAAGGGCACAAAATGATGTTAAAATAAACTATTATATTATTTTTAAAAATTAAATTAAAAAAAAAAGTAGTCCAGTGTAAGTCAATAAACAAACAATTATATAGTATCAACTATTTCTAAGAGGGACAGGAAGAGAAAGATCAAAATCTAGAGTTGGTATAACATATAATATAAAATGTACCATTTTTAAAATGTCAAATTAAAAAGCAATAATACACACAAAGAAAACAAGAATGTATAACCTATAAAAATATATCTGAAATTAAAAATTCGTTCACTTTAGTGGCTCAATGGCTGATTTCAGCTGACAAAATGAAGTCTAAAAAAGTATGGTCTCACCAGTTATTAATTTAGTGATTATTCATACTACCAACATATAAGTACCACAAGTCTTAAGAAATTTCAGAAAGTATAGTATAAAGACATTAATGCAGAATTCACGTGGAGAGTTAGGAGATGATCTTAAAATGAGAGGGGGAAAAAGCATTAAGACATTTTGGTTTAGATTTGTTTTTGTTAAAACTTAACAAATATTTCTAAATATAAATAAAAATTTAATTCACCAATACACCACTTACTGAGGTCCTATGATGTACTTCCAATATACCAGATACTATGCTAGAAACTGCAGGAAAAAAGATAAAGAGCAAAATGATACCTTCAATGAGCTCAAAGTATCAAAAATTTAACAATTCAATGTATATGGGTATGTATATAATGTATGGGTAGCACTAAGGAGAAAGCAGCTAGTTGGGGGAGACTAAGAGAAGTAATAAATACAGCAAATACTGCCTTCTTTCTAAATAATAGAAAGAAGCAAGACCCAGTACATAAAACAGCAAAATCTATGATAACATAAAACTGTAAACTGGTTTGGGAAATGACAATAGGCACCAGTACGAACATAAACAAGTATTATGGGAAGTAAGGTTAGAGAGGTAAGTATACCACATTAAATAATTTGAACTTCATCCTATAGGAGAATCACTACAGAGACTTTAAGGATTTTTTTTTTTTAAAGATTTATTTATTTGTGCATATAGAACTGGGGTATAGGCCAGAGGCTCAGGGGCAGGAGAGGCTTCACCAGGGACAGAGTGGGGAGTAGAACAGGCAGATGGACGAAGTACACTGCTGAGGGGAGCAGCCGCGGGGTCAGGAGAGGTCTGCCACGCCACGTGGTCACCTCCGGGGCAAATCGGAATCCAACTCATGCGGAAGTGGCTTTAGCTTCTTAGTGTTGCACTTTAACCCGCTGCGCCACCAGGGAGGGCCTAGACTTTAAGGATTTTAAGTAGAACCCTAAAAGTGTAGAATCTGGACTAAAGGTGGATAAGATAGAAAAGAAAGAAATCAATTAGCTCTAAAGTAATTGAGATGAGGACAGAGAAAAAGATGGAACAGAATCAACAGTGAGAACAGGTAAGTTCTCACTGCATGAATATGCATCATGAAGTACACCTTTATTTAGAGAAATGTTGATAACGTTTTAATTTTATGAAAGATTAAAAAATCAATAATCATTCAAAAGCCATTCATGTGGAAAACCAGGAAGGGATGGAAAAAAGTCAGTGGTTTAGTGTTAGAATAATATTAAAGTTTGCCATATCAGTCAGATATGCATGAACTGATGAACAAGCACCTGATATATAAATCAAAATTCATGGAAGAAAGCAAGCCATTGAATTATCATGCACAAGTGGTAAAGCTGAAGAAGTGTGAAAGACTGCCTAGAAAGAGAAGACAAAGGAAAGAGAGGTCCCTGGAAAAAGCATTAAAAATGCCTATATTGGCCCTCCCTGGTGGCGCAGTGGGTTAAAGCACAGCACTAAGAAGCTAAAGCCACTTCAGCATGAGTTTGAACCTGGCCTGCCCCTGAGGTGATCCCACATGGCGCAGCAGACCTCTCCTGGCCCACCTGATGCTCCCCTCAGCAGTGTACTTTATCAGCCAGCCTGTTCTGCTCTCAGCTCTGTCTCTGGTGAATCATCTCACCGTCCCTGCACCTCTGGCCTATACCCCAGTTCTGTATGCATTAAAAAAAAAAAATCTTTTAAAGGAAAAAAATGCCTATGTTAATAGAGTAGGCGTAGGCTAAACAAAAAATATTAAGTAGAATTAAGTAGAATTAGTCACAGAGACTGAAAGGATACCAGGAAGGGATGAAACCTCAAGAAGTCTTATACTATTTGAGTATAGAGTAAAATCAGTATTTCCCCTCCATTCAAATTTCCCTACCCCTTAAAAAAGGTGAGAAAAGCAGAAAGAAAACCTCACTGTTGATGAAACTAGGAGACATCTGAAACCACATCACTAAACAAATCAAAAAGCTGTCAGCGTGAAGATCAGAGAGATAGGAGGAAAACAGCAGAGACTAGAACCACCGAGGGTGGCAAGTGCAGAAAGACCTGTCAAGGCAGATATCTTCCAAGCCAAGAGGAAGCCACTGAAAGGCCAAAGTAAAACTCCTTGTTTACAAAGCAAGTGGAACTAGTGGAGGGAGATTCTCTGCACTAGATTTTGTTCCAAGAAACTAAGAAGTGCAAAAAAATAAGAAATCACGCAAAGAAGCTTTATTAATAGAAAGCAGCCACTGTATGTGTGACAGGGCAAAAAGAGACCACACTGTAAATAGATCTACTGCAACCTACTGACCAGGGAACCGTAGTAGCTAAAATACTACCCCCCTCTCCCAACCACACAGACACACAACCACACAGACACACAGCTTTGAATCATGAGAAAAATTTCACTTGGTTTTGTAGACAGCCCAAGGATAAGAAGTCATGCATAAAAATATTCGATAAGCTCTGGAACTAACTAAAAATTGAAACCAACTAAAAAGCCAACAAATGGATAAATTCTGATGTTACTATACGAATAGACTATTATAGTTGCATAAAATGAACTATGACACACACATATAACCACATATATGGAAAACACAGTGTCATTCAAAACAATGATATGATCATTTAAAGGTGACATAAAGCATAAGTGAGAAAATTAAACTCTACTGAGGGCATCAGTTAGCTCAGGAATGGGAAGGAAAGGTCAGGCACCTGGGGGGTGTTCAGGGACTTTACATCCCATTCCTTTACAAAAATTTGAAGCAACTATAGCAGAAATATTAGGATTTGATAAAAGGCTAGGGATTCATTATTTTATCCTCTGTGCTTTCCTTTGGAACCTAGTTACTAAGGTTTAAAAGGAAGCATAAATTAGTCCAATTGGAGACACAAAGGGCCCACATGGAGAAGAATTAGGTGCCTGCTTGCAGTTAGTGTCAAGCTAAGATATCCTGGTGAACAAGCCTTCAGATGATTCCAGCCCAGGTAGCTTCATGAGCCCCAGATTATCATGGTCCAGACACAAACTGTCCCTGGAATCTAAATTCCTGATTCACTTATGAGTATAAATAAATTGTTATTTATACCATGACATTTTGGAACCATTTGTTACAAAGTTATACTGATGAGAATAACTAAACATTAGACTGAAATGAAAAATATTTATAGTGCCTAATATAAGGTTTCAGACCTATTTGCTAAGTTTACAAAACTGCTAATAGCTGTAAACTGACCTCAGTTTAATAATTTATATAGCTTCTTACCTCCAAACTTCCAGAATGGGCGGCCCAATGTAAAGGAGTAAATTTATGGAGAACATCAACTTCATTAACGTTGGCTCCATGTTCTACTATTTCTGAAAGCTGCTTTACATCTCCAGCTCGTACTGCATCATGCATGCTTCTGAAATGCACCTTCTTTCTGGCACCTACTGAAATATCAAATTACTTTAAATTTATTACAAAGCTTAAAAAAAGAAACCTAAAGAAATGATGCAACAGAAAGTAAAATATCACTTTGGCTTTCAAAATAATTTATTACAAAGATGTTTGTGATCAACATCTTAACCAGACTTCCACTTCAGTTTTAACATATAAAGAGCAAGAAGTTATCATTCAAGCAGGTACAGGAAGGAAGCTGAACAAACTAAAAAACCAACTAATTTTCTTGGGCTCATCAGAGAATTGAAGTCTCAGGGCAAACTGCCACCCTGAAATCTGGAAAGATAGATAAATACAGAGAAATATAGTGAAGTTCAGTTTACCTGGAGCAGAAAACACTGGAGTCATAATTGATAGAAGTAAAATATGCGGCAAGTTTGATAAGTTGCTGGAGGATGGGTATAAACTAGCCTAAGGGTGAGAAACTCCTCCAAGTCATGGGAGAGTCATAAATTTTACTCTAAGAAAGCTGCCAAGTTATCACTGTAAAAAGCCACAAAAAACCTTTTGTCCTTGGCAGGGGCAGGGGAAAAGTAACCATTTTGAAATATGCCTACTGCATCCTCAAAGGCCTACCATCCAGTGGAAAAAAGCTACCTCAGATTGACAGATATATTTGATCAGTGTTTTCTTACCTTTCTCATTTGTCCTACACATTTGGCAGGTCACAATTTTTACTTCAAACACTGCAATGCTTTGTATTTTATATAGCCTAATGTCACAAACATCAAAAGTGATTATCAGGTTTACTGTATTGTGTCATATTTTAAGTGTGCACTATAAGCCAGAGAAAATAAATGTTTCTAAGAATAAAGAGACATTTGTTGTAAGAGGAAGGAGTAAGGAATTTAGTGAAATTTGTTTCCTACACAAAACATACACACACACACACACACAAAGGGGACAATTCCTAATATACAGTTGTTTTGTAATTACCAGTGATTAGCAGATATTCTATAAATCTTCTGCTATGTATATGCCCTCTCTCCACAATTAGAACATTAATATTTTAAGGATTGAAACATATCTTACAGCAATTCTTAAAAAACAGTATACATTTTACACAAAATCTCTTCTGAGCATCTACCATATGCCAGACATAGATGGAAAACAGACATATCCAAAATCCATTTGGATAAATATGATGAAACCAAAAATATTTCAATAATGCCCTAAGATAGGTAAAATCAAGGAGGAGGAGGAAGAGGGTGAAACATTTGAGTAAGACATTGAAGAATCATTAAGACATGCACTCTGTCCTCAAGGAACTCACAGAAAGATACAAGCACAAGTTATAAAATAATGTGGGGGCCTCCCTGTTGGTGCAAGGGGTTAAGTCTCAGTACTAGGAAGCATTGGCAGCCACTGAAGCACGAGTTCAATCCCAGCCCAGGGGCTGACCCATATGGCACAGCAGACCTTTTTCTGTCTTGCCTGCAGCTCCCCTCAGAAGATCTGTTGTTCTGCCCTCTAATCTATCTTTGGTGAATCCTCTCACTACCTCCTCCTTGCACCTCTGGCCTGCACCCCAGCTCTTGTATGCATAAATAAAATAAATATTTTTTTAAAGATTTATTTATTTATTCGTACAGAACTGGGGTACAGGCCAGAGATTCAGAGGGTGAGAGGATTCGCCAGAGACAGAGTGGGGTGCAGAACAGGCAGATCGATGAAGTATACTGCTGAGGGGAGCAGCGGGCAGGTCAGGAGAGGTCTGCCACGCCATGTGGATCTCCTCTGGGGCAGGCGAGGATCGAACTCATGCGGAAGTGGCTTAAGCTTCTTTGTGCTGTGCTTTAACCCGCTGCGCCACCAGGGAGAGCCTAAAATAAATATTTTTAAGAAATAAAATAATATGGTAAGAACAATGACAAATATTCCCAAGAACTTAGGAAACACAGAAGACTTCTAACTCAAGTAGGATTAATAAGGAATAAAATTCCTGTGGAGGGCAAAAATTAAGATGTCTTCAAGACATCTTAAAATAAGGGCAGAGAAAAGCATCTTTGATAACATAAACAGGAGGATGTAGTTAAGAAACCTAAAGAATAAAGACCAAGGAAAAGAAGACTGGACTTAGCTTATAGTTTAACTTTTGAACTTGAGCAGAAAATGCAATCACTGAAGGATTCTAAACAGAAGATTACTAATGATCAGAGTATAATGCTGTGTTAAAATAATTGACAGCAGTGAGTAGAATTAATTGACTGGAAAGCAAAAATGGTTAAAACTAGAGATTCAAGGAAACCAGGTAAAAAGATAGCTGCAGTAGTCTATCTCCCAAAAAAGTGAGACCCTCAACAAAGAGAGTGGCAATAGAAACAGAAAAGAAGATAGATTCCACAAACATTAAGGAAATAGGGCAAACTGAACTTGGATGGAAATAATGGGTGACACAGAAGAAAAGTAATGGCAAAACTTTTAAAGGTCTGGCTATGGATACAACACTGTATTTTGGTAAATCTTCCAGAAGGCAGTTGAACATGAGTCTGCAGCTTAGAGGGCAAATTTGGAGTTCAGATTAACTGTGTTAACTGTGTCTCACTATTAGCTAGTGTTTCCCTTAAAAAAAAAAAAGATTTATTTATTTATGCATATAAGAATTGGGGTGCAGGCCAGAGGTGCCAGAGAAGGGGTGGTAAGAGGATTCACCAGAGATAGAGTGGGGAGCAGAATAGGCAGGCTGACTCCCTACATTGCTGAGGGGAGAAGCAAGGACAGGAGAGGTCTGCTGGGCCATGTGGGTCACCTCCCTGGCTGGGGAATGAACTTGTTGCTGTGGACAGCTTCACAGTGCTGCACTTTAACCCGTTGTGCCAACAGGGAAGGCCCTTAGCTAGCTTTTTCTGACCTCATCCTCACTGCACACTGGAGTCAATGACACTCTACTCTTATAATATAGATTACATTAGGCATTATTTCCTCAGTAATTATATCTCCTCCAGGCACCACTCATAACAGGCACTCACTGGGTTAAGTTATGGGAGGTTAAATGAATAACATAAATTTGGAGTAGGTTTGAAGCCATACATGCCAAGCAAATTTGAATTCCGATAAAGGCACCATGCAGGGGAAAAGCAACGTAAGGAGAGAATGGGGGGAAAAAATAAGCCAGAAAGGGAGTATTAATAAATGGAAGGAAGAAAACTAAGTCTAATATCTCCACAGCGCCAAAAGCTGTAAATTTAAATGCAAGTAAAACTTAAAGGGAACCAGAAGATATAATAAGACTTACTGTCAGTATGAGCCAGAAGTCTCAGGAATTGTGCAGTTAGGTGCAAAGAAAGGGAGGAAAACTGGCACCTTCACTGGTGGCCCAAAGGGTTAAAACTCAGCACTGCAAGCTGCTTCAGCTGTAGTTCAATCCCTTGCCAGAGAGGTGATCCACAGGCACAGCAGACTTCTCCTGACCTGCCCGCTGCTCCCCTCAGCAATGTACTTGTTGATCTGCCTGTTCTGCTCCCCACTCTGTCTCTGGTAAATCCTCACAGCCCCTGCACCTCTAGCCTGTACTCCAGTTCTGGGGTATAAATAAATCTTTTCAAAAAAGATAGAAGGGGAGGAAAACTGAAATGAGGGGAGGTGGGTTACAAATGCATGGCTTTGGAACTGGCTAAAAATGCCTACAATTAAGGGAAATGAAGGCTGGCAGTTGAAAGGAGAAATGTCAGGCAAGGCAAAAGCAGATTTGGACTAGAGCTAGGAATGTGGCAGAGACTAGGACTCACTGGGGAGAGCAGTCTCCGTGGAGGTTTCTGATCCCGACACCCCAGGCATGGTGCGCTCCCTCGGAATGCCGAGAGGAATAGAGTCCACGCCCCTGCTACTGCGGCGGTCTTCACTGGCCGTCACCCAAAAGTCTAGGCTGCGGCCGTGGCTTTCTGGATCTCCGGGACCCGGGCCCTCTCTTGCTCTCCCCCAAGGACCCCCGCAGCGAGAATTGCCGTCTTCGCTTTCTCTCTCCCAGAAGCCACAGAGGCGGCGGCTGGCGTCTTCGATTGCGCTCACCCCGCAGGATTCGCGGGCCGCGTAGCTGGGGTCTTCACTCACTCCCTCCCAGGAACTAAGGGGACAGGAGCTGCCATCGACACTCGCTCCCTCCCAAGAGCCACTGAGGAGGCGCCGGCGGTTGTCACTGCCTTTCTCCCCAGAATCGTTAGCTCGGCGGCTCAGGCCTTCCCTTATACCCTCACAAGCACCCCTGAGGCGGGGGCCGCAGTCTTCGACAGTTCCCGCAGAACCGCTGGCTTGGAGGCGGCCGACAGCACTTAAATTGACGTCACTGCTGCAGAAGCCGCGTTCTTCGTTTATTCTCTCCCAAGAGCTGTGGGGACAGTGCCCACCGTCGTCCCTAAGTGTCTCCCGAGAGCCACTGTTTCGGTGGTCCAAGCCCTCGCTGACCCTTCTCGAATCGCAGCGGGAGAAGCCGACGTCTTCACTTACTCTCCGGGAAGAGACCCTGCGGCGGTGTCCACCGTCTTCGCGGATTTTTGCTCTGTCTTCGCGGATTTTTGCTCTGTCTTCGCTGCTACTACAGAACTCGTCCTCACTAACTCTTCCCCTCGCCAAGCCGTCGCGACGGCGGTGTCGGTTGTGTATCCGCCACTCGCGGTGACTGGTGCGGCGGCCGCCGTCTTCAGTGGCTCCTAACTGAGAGTCGCAGTCGCGGCGGCCGCCGTCGGCTAATACCCTCTCCGAGTCGCTTTCCAGCGTCCCGATTACGGCCACCACGTTGAATCGGCGGCGGAGTTGTCGCCTTGGAAACGAGTAAACTTCCGGCGTGTTGCGGTCATTTCCTGTTCCTCGTGCTTTGCGTCATTTCCGGCTCCCTTCACCTTTTTTCCAGGCTTGTCCTGTAGAGAAATGCGATGGTGGTGTGGACGGGTTTGCCGGGAAATTCCGCTGTCTCACTCCCGACCTATCTAGGTCCTGTCTCTGTGACGACCTGGCATCGATCGCGCCCTCCGTGGCTCAGCGACGCAGGTGGAGGCCTCAGGACTGCAGTCTGCGTAGGTGACCTGTGTGGCACGGGCCGGGCGGGGCCTTTCGTCCTTGGCAAGCCTAGTATAATTTTTCAGTGCTGGTTGGAATGTTGGAGAAACTCCATACTTGCTGTATCATTTCCCAAGTATGGAAAGAGACGTAAAGGAGAAGTTAGCCTCTGTAGCCGCTATCATTGAGTGCTTACTAGCGCCAGACTGATAACCGCTTGGTACTTAATTCTCACAAAAATTTTGTAAGGTAGGTTTTAACGCACATTTTACAGGTGAGTAGAGTCAGGTAGCTTTCTAAGGCCATACAGCAGGTAAGTGGTAGAGTTAGTATAAAAACTCAGGTCATCAGTGAAAGAACTGTTCCCGTTCTCCTGACTGCAAATCCAAGGTTCCTTTCACTGTAAAATGTCTACTTCCAACAGGCTAGCCTAAAATTTTCACCAACCCTAATAACTGTATTCTTACATTGACGGGTTTTATTTGTTTGGCAAATTGATGGGTCACGTTTTATGATAGCAGCTGAGAGCACGGAAATTCGAATTATCTGCCCTCAGTGAATATCGCCAACTTTGATTTCCCCACTCACCCTTTTTTCATCCTTATTGCTTGCCACAGGTATCCCTCCAGGAATAATGAACTGGTGTCATAGATGCGCCATACTTTTCTGAGTCATTATGTCCTTATATATCTTACTACTCTGAGGACGAAGTTACCGATTCTACCCCAGTTTTGTTCTATGAAAGCATTTGGTAAACTCCCCTGACCCTATTTTTACTCTTTCGAGGTAAAGTAAATCATCTGCCTTTAACTTTCAAAACTTCTTATAATGTTAATAATGTTAAAAGTGCTATTTGTTGAGTTTATATAGTGAGTCTGGACATTCCACAAGCTTTAGATTAGTTTTCTTAACCTTTAACATAAGTGGGGTAGGTATCTCTTTTTCTTTTTACAGATGAAGAAAAAAAGGCATAAAAAAAAAACTACCTGATAAGAGGCTAGTGAGAAGCAATTAGTGAGAACCTCAGTTAGGTTTTCAACTTAGATTTTTGGTTTTGCATATTCCACATATTCCACAAAATCTCTGAATTTCCACAGGCTTTATTAAACCACTTATCGCACTGGGGCCTAGAGCTGTCCTAACATCCAAAATGCTTAGTTCTGTGCATGGGGGCTTTATTGTGGAGGTGGATTTGTAGTTTGAATATATAATGAATAGACTAAAAGTAGTTTATCAGAATTGAAAATTAGTCATGTCAGACCCCTCATATTTGAAATGGAGCAGCTGACCATTTGTCTACCAGACAGATACTTATCAAGAGCCAGTTTCTATGCTAAATGATTTGCGAATTGTGTTAAACCTAATCTGTTATTTCGTTTATATTTTCACAGATGAAGAAACAACTCAGATTTGACCAAGATCACATAATTAAGAGGTGGGGATTTGGAACCCACCATGACTGACTCCAAATTAAGAGAGTACTTATAATCAATTACATGTTTATGGTAAAGGCTTTACTTTTTGCTATTTGTATGGAATGGATACTTATTGAGAGAATAAGTCAGCATATGATAGGTCCTTAAAGCATACATACATGGCAGGAAAGTTCCAAAAAGGAAACAGAAACTGAAGAAACAGAAAAAGTAAAATTTTACCAATTAAAATAGCTATCAGTGAACTAGTAAATTAATCATATTAATAGCTGGTGTTTGAGAAGAAACAACAAAGGCACTTTGTTGAAGTAGACAAAATAATATTGGAAACAAAGAAGGACATATTACAGAGCTGAGGGACTTTGAAAATCATAAATGAACTATTTCATGTAAACATACACTTAAAACTGAACTTGCATAGTTTTCTTGGAAAACACATATTTTAAAAAACTGACTAAAAAGTTAGAAAACTTTACTAACTACTAATAATTAAAGGATACCCTCTATATCCTTCACAAATGGAACAGGGATTAAAGCATAGAGAAATATCAAGTGCTTCCCAACTGTAAATGTAAGATAATCCCTAACAATGAAAATACGGATAGTGAAAACTTGCAGGTCAGTCTCGTGTAAGAATATATATGCAAAAATTTGAAGTAAACTATGAAGCCAATAGTACATTAAGAGAACAATGCTGTATGTAGTTAAGTTGGATTTACACTGCCAGTACAAGGATGGGTCAGTATTTGACAACATAGCACTGAAAATTTGATACATCAATAAAGGGGGAAAATTGGGGTCTTAATATTGCTACTAAAAAAGCACTTGAAAAAACTTCACGTTACTGATTCAGAAGAAAATAATAGCAAGTAGTGAAAGAAAGCTTTATTAACTGATAAAAGTAATCGACCAAGAACAGCATACTTAATGTCATCATCCAGGTACTGTCCCTACGATCAGCATTGTTCTGATAATTTTGTAACAGTGTAACTAACTATAAGCAAAACTAGATGTGAGATTGAAGAGAGATTAAGACAACTGATGTTATCATTTGCCTAGAAAATCTAAGAACTAACCTAAGGGAAATAATTTTTAAATACTAGAATAAAGAGTTAATAGCTATCAGAACAATGTACAAAATTTAGATATGCTACAAAAGGAAAATCTTACATTAGCTACAACAGTGAGCTGTTGCAGTAATAAACCTTTCAATAACTGGACAAACCTAAACAAAAAAGGCCATAAAACTTCACATATCCACATTAAGTGGAAAGATAATACTGTCCTTATGAGTAGGCTCAGTATTTTAAGGAAATGATTCTCCTCACACTATAAATTTGTTGCATTTCAAGTAAAGACTCTCATGTAATTTAGTGATTTATCAAGGTGTTTTTAAAGTTTATCTAGAAAAATAAATGTGCAAGATTAACCAATGCATTAAAACAACTAACGAGGATTTGCTGCAGTACATATTTGGACTATAAAGCTTGGAAGTATTTAAAACAGGTTGGTATTAAACATATCAGTGGAATAAATGAATCCACAGGTAACTCCATGAATACATTTATAGTACAGGAGGTATTTCAAATAGATGGAAAATGATAAACCTCTATTTTTGTGTACAAAAATTTTAGAAGAGTTAATGGTATTAAATATAAAGTGCTAGAAGAAAATACAGAAAAATTGTTTTGCAAGTTTTAGGAAGGCCTTCCTAAGCAAGACAGGCCCCAGAGGCCGCTGTGAAAAAGCCTTGTTTTATAAACATTTAAAAGGCAACAAGATGGGTTACCAAAGAAATAAGAGACTTGATGTTTATTATCTTAAACTTTTAAGTTAGAAAGTAATTCAATAGAAGAATTAATGAACTTTTTAATAGTAAGAGAGCAAATGACAAGAAAGGATACTTACAGTTGATTGCTATATGTATATCACATTGATAAAAACTAAAAATTTATAGGTAATACATGTTGGAAGAAGTTAAGGAAACAAAGCACTCTGAATACCTTGCTGATAAGAGACTAAATACAGCCCATGAAGGACAGTTTGGCATTATCTCAAAATCTTGATGTATACTACCTTGAATCAAGCAACTATCCAGTTGTAAAATCATCATCAGTTATTTGCTCAGTTGTATGTAATGTACATTGCAACTTTGTAAATAATTAGAAACTTGAAAATTCATCAGTGCAAAAACAGCTAAGTAGATTATATTACACTCCTAATATGGAATACTACACTGGAAATGCCAGTATATATGTATAAACATAATGATAGATGTGATCTCAAATTCTAAATCACTTTGCACAAGAATTTTCTTCGAAGTTTTGGAGGATCTGTACCACATTATCAATTCAGTGGTTACACGAAAAAGGAGATAAAAGACTTATTTTCTGTACTTCTATTTGATTTTTAAAATTCTATCCTAAGTAAAAATACAGCAGCACAGGAAACACAGTGGCAAAGCAAGATACTTAAAGAGCATGTGAGCCAGGAAAGATTCAGAGGCTAAGCAAAGCACACTAGTTTTGGCAAGGACTCAGTAATAATACTCAGGGGAGCAATTTTAATGAAAAGCTAGATTGCACAGGATTGCAAGGCAAGTGAGAGACTATGAAGGAAGTTTTTCAACTGAAGTTTCAGAACAGACATTTTAAGTGGACATCTCAGCATTTCAGAAAACCCAAACCCATATAGATAGAAAGCCTAAGTTTCCACAGCTAAACCAGTCCTTTCATGCCTACTGAAGTGGAGTGATGAATCAGCATTTTGTACCTAGTTCTATAGGAGGGAACAGGGCCAACACCAGGCAAAAATTGGATTTCAGTAACCATTACTATTTTTTGCCTGTGAACTTAATCAGCTGCCCTTCCCCCCTCCTTCAGGGTACACCTCCAGACCCTCACTATGGCAACCCCAGAGTGAGGGTTTTGACATAAAACTTGCTCTTCTCTACCTACCCTTCATTTCCGGACTTCATGTGGGAGTACAAAACTTCTTGTTCCTATGGCCTTTGCTAACAGCATTCTTATTTTCTACTTCTTACAGAATATACTTTACTCAGCTGAATCTTAACCACACACAGACATGATTAGAGGCTTGCTAATTTTTATATTGTCTGAAATTTATAAGCCTCTCAAGAGTCACTAGGCTGTAAAGAAAGCCGATTATTCAGAGGGTTGCTCATTCCTCATGTAAAACTGTCTAGAAAATGTGGTTCCCCAGGACAGCCACATCTTGCAGCAGTCCATTAAGTAAAACAGTATTTCTAACCACCTCTTTCCATCTTCTGCTTTCCACAGGAAAGCTAATTAACCCCTAATTTAGCCTTCTGGGACACTTATTTGCATGCTGGATGAGTAGCCCCCTCCTGATGTTATAGCCATATTTTGTTCCA